TAATGACCATTTCATGCCAAAAACACTAAAATGCACTCATTTTATACACTTAAGTTGAAACCCATATGAAACCCTAACTCCATCTCAACATGCAACCCATAAAACAATGATATCAACCATAAACAAGTGCAAAGAATGGATTATACCTTGATGATCAAATCCTTCAAGGATCTTGTAATTCCTCTTTGATTTGAGTTGAATCAAGCCTATGTGTGTGAAAATCGCACCTCTAGAGTGTGTGTGAGTTCTGGACTTAGATGACAAGAAAAATGGSCCAAAACTCCAATTTATAGTGCTAAAACTCGAGTTGGGCCGGGTTGGCCCGGGTAGGACCCATTTTGACCATCAATACTTAAATTATTCATAACTTTTCGCTCGGACCTCCGTTTTCCATGAGGTTTTCGCCTACACGATCATAAAGAGATAATCTATAACATCCAACAAAAATATTCCAGAAAATATCTCCCAAGAAAATCAATTTTACGTATCCATTTGACATGATATTTTCTAAATCCTCTAATATATTCTTAAGAAATAAAATTCTAAAGCTTCAAACCCATACTCCCACTAAATCATAAGTTCTATTTAACCCAATAATTAAATATACTAAGCAAATAATTGGGCATAGAAGAAATTGGATGTTACACATGGTCCAAAAATTCAAAATACAAATTCTTGTACTAATCCACGTTCATCTACCAAGACTATACATATCACCATCCATTCTTCATGCAGGTAAACATACAGGGAAATTATCACATTTTTCTTTTTCCCTTACCTTCACCACTTCCTGCAATACATATTTAAAATCACAAAACAAGGGTTAGACTGAAAGTTCCAATGAGTTACCCTATTTATGTTATTGCAGGGTGAAAATCACCAAAACTTTTATATAAAATAACTTTTCATATATATATATATATATATATATATAACAATTATATGAACAAGTAAGAACACAATATCAATACTTTTTACTTTTCAAGCCAATAATCTTTGTTTGTAAACAATACATCAAATCCAAACAGGTTTATACTAACCAAATAACATAATGCCACTTTTAAACCTTTTTCCATTCAAACAAGGTTTATTCAAAGTTTCAGGCCAAACATGTTATCCCCTTCTCTATAACATTCAGACTATGATTTCCAATAAGAATCCTGATCCTAAATCTTTGAATCACAAAGAAATAAAGATTCCAGACCACAGTAATATTAGGGGATATGTTAGTAAGAGTTATATTATATATCACATACATACAATTGTCACCCTTATATCCAAATGTACACATCTCCTTGATATGCCACCTTTATCCCATGGTACACCTCTCCTTGATATGTCACCCTTATTTCTTCATCAAAATATTTCACAAAAATAATTCCATATAGAATTAGACCGCAGTCAATGGAATTATTATCAGTTCAATAATCATCTTTTGTTCAAAATTCCCCATTTATATATAATAACAAGTCAAAATGCAAATCCGGTCAAAATAGACTTGGCCGGACTTCATCTCCGGTCAAGTCTTGGCCGGTTTACCAAATCCGGACAATAAATCGTCCAAGGCCTGTCCGATTTATTACTTAAGAGAAAATATTCCAACACTTTTGTCCGTATAACAAATCCGGACAACACATGTCCCTTTTTGACCGATTTAAAATAATTCGGTCATCACATGGTCGTATTCATACTTCTCCATTGAAACACTTAATTATAAAATCAAAGGTCATAAATCGTTCAACCTTTAAACCGATCGAAACATGTCCGGTTTAAAGCTAAACCGCTTATCACTTGAGCGGTTTATACATATATCGCTTAGGGCACATCCGGTTTACATATAAATCGCCTAAGGCACATCCGGTTTACATGCATATATCGCTCGACCCTTGACTGGTTTATGCCTTAAATCGTACAACCTTGGTCCGGTTTATTCTTAATCCGGACTACACTTAAGTAAACTCAAAAACTCAATAAAACATATAATTTAAAGTGTTTTGAAAGCATTTAACCACTCACCTTGAAAGCCTTTTGAAAATCAGATACTTGAAAACCAAATTGTAATCTGGTCACAAAAACAATCCGATCACACTCTCTTTTCTTAAATCGCTCAAATGAGGTCTAAAAAATAGTAAGAGATTACAATGGAGGTTCAACCACCCTTTTATACCTTTCCTAAACAGGAAGACGACTACTACAGCCTTCTTCACAAGCATGCATTCACATTACCATAATCCATGCATACACATTCATCCTTTTCAAATACCCAATTCATGCATGCATGTAAAATCATATACATATACACACCTATGCATGTATTTCATCACATATATATATAATTATACCCACATATACACATAGTCTCATGCATGCATCTATATTATGCATATAATTCACATACTAACATGATCAAATATAACAATTTATTATGTTGTCACATAATTATTTAACAAATAATCATGTATCAGTTACCTCGGGTGATAACCAGGATCCGATTATCACAGTCCCATGTGAGTGTTTAGTAGTCGATAATCGGATACAACGTCTTGGCCAAACAAGATGACCGGAGGAGGTCACCGGAGTATAAACCTGTAACATTAATCCCTGTAACATGTTAAAGATTCTCTAGATCCCTAGCTCTCATACCAAGTTGTTTCATTCGTTCGCAAAATCTTTCTTAAATAATCTTTAGTTTCCTCTTGTACACTCCACGACCTATATGAATAGTCTTTTCAATCACACATTTGCAATATATGTAGTAATTTGTTGCATATTTGCACTGACCAAAACGTTGACAGTTAACAAATGATTTATAAGCGGTCCATGGAGACTAAGGTTGTTTCTTTCATTTGCAAACTAATGATTCATTGTAATCACTGATCCCTTAAAAAATAGTGTAAAAAATAATATGTTTGTCTGCATTTTAGGTTGGAGGCAATTTTTAGGCTTTTCTCCCAAGGCATGAAAAACCGCAGGAGCGGACTAAATTTCTGGCAAACATAAAAAAGTATGTTAGTTTATTGATCACTTTATTTAGATAATATGTTGTGTTCTCAAATTTAGGAACGAAATAAAAAAAATAAAAAAAAAGGTTTTTTTAATTGTATTTTCCAAAGGAACTAGAAGTAATGAAATAATACATTTTTCATGTTCTGGAATCAAGAAGGATGGAAAATAAAATTGTCACCTTTATATGCCATTTATATTTGTTTTCATGGTTATAAATTAATGGATAGTTTTGTAATTTTATTAAATTATCCAAAAGTTATAATTTATTTTCTTCACTCTCTTCCATATTTTTTTGATTAACCTGGATATCCAACCCCATATCAGTGGCGGATGGCCTGTAGGTCCTTTAGGGGCCCTGGCCCCTATGTTTTTTTTTTACTAAATAGGAGCATATTAGAGGTCCATAGGCTTTTAAGTTTAAACAAAATTGGGTGGCCCCTCCACTTGATCCAGTCCTCCAGCTCCAGGCCTCCAGCGACGACATCGACGACGACGAGTGCTCTCGGCTCTCGACGCGACGACATCGATTGATCGACGGTAAGTTCTCCAGCCGTCCAGGCGTTCAGCGGTAGTCCTCCAGTCTAGGCTCCAGTGGCAGACAGGGCACCGGCGGTTTGAGTTTGATCCAGTCCTCCCGCCTCCGATAGTGCTCTCGATGGTAATTGGTAAGTCCTTATGTTCTCTCCGACTCTCCACTCCATAGCAACTGCTGAAGTAGAACTGTTGTTGCATTTTTATTCTTTAACTTTAACCTAATAACCTGTGTTGTGCAACTGCATCTTTATTCTTTAAAGTTTAACTTGTATGTATATAAATTCTAATTGTCTAAATTTGTTTGCTTAAAGCTTAATGATTTATGATTAGGTGATTTAGGTCTAAATTTGTTTGATATTTTGATTGATTGGATTTAAAATTTTATTACTTGAGCCTTGAGTTGAGTTGATTTGATGAGTTTTAAATTGTTTATGTGTTCTTCAAGTTTAATAGTTCAAGGGTTTATGTGTTTTAAATAAGTGGACTGCATTTTATTACTTAAGCCTTTATACATAATACATTAATACATACATGAATCTGTGTTCTTCAATGGTATTTGTGGACAGTGGCTTGTGGTATGAATGTATGAATCTGTGTTCTTCAAGGGTAGTTATGAGTTATGCATAAACAAATTGATGGAGTATAAGCATGTTTCGATGTCCATTTCTGCTACTGTAGGACGGTAGGAGAATCCTTATTCACTAGCAAGGTAGCAATTGATCCAAATCATTGGAAGCAACATATATAGTGATTAAGCAACATATATGTCCCTTATTTACATTTGTTTTAAAACTAAAACTGCTAAATATGTTCCACATGTAGATGAAGATGAAAACTCTATCTACCATTCATGGGTTTTTTAAAAGAAAGCATGCTAGTTCTTCTTCTCAAGATCCTGAAGAAACAACAAATGTAGATAATACCCTTGCATCTAGTATTCTGCCTATTGAAAACCCTTGCAAAAAAGCTAAAACGGAAAGTAATGATATTGATTTGGGTACACTAGAACGAAACTCTGCTTTGCATCATCAAGTTTATGATTATCCTATCAATCAACAAGATACAATTCGATGAGCTTACATGAATCTTGGTCCTCTTCAACCTACACTTTCTATGTTTCCAAACTCTGGACCAGAAACTCATAAACGTAGCTTTCAAGCTTCTTGGTATAAGTTACATCCCTGGATTGAATATTAAAAGACCTTGGATGCAGCATTTTGTCTCCCTTGTTTTTTATTTAACAAGCCATCTGGGCTCGGATACTACGGTCAATAGGCATTTACCATAGATGGGTTTCGAAATTGGAAAAAAGTGGGTGGGAAAAAATGTGGTTTCTTGATACATATGGGAACCGAATGTACATCTTTCCACAATGTTGCAGAAAAGGGATGGGATCATTTATTTAATGAGGTGCAAGATATACGAAATGTATTTGAGAAGTTCACAACTGAAGAGAAATAATGGAGATCACTGATTTACTTTGTCAAGCTTTACAAAGGAAAGATCAAGATATTTTTAACTCATTGAGGTTAGTTGCATCTACCAAATTGTTATTGCAACTAATGAAAGATGAAAGCTGGGATGTTTTGCTTTGCCTTGTTAAGTCATTTTGTCAGGTACATAACATAATGATCATACACTCGAACATCGTTATTAAGTAAATCTTCCTAACTTGTCTTCTTCTCGACTTGTTTTCTTGTCAGGTACGTAACATAGATAAACCTGACTTGTTTTCTTCCTACTTTAGCAGAGGGAATCGAGCTCGTAATGAGCATAGTGATCATACACTTAAGCATCATTACCGAGTGGATATCTTTTATGAAGCAATTAATTGTCAATTAATGGAATTAGATCATTGTTTCAGTGATGGTTCCATGGAGATGCTTCGTCTTCCTTCAACTCTAGATCTTAAAAATGCGTATGAGACTTTTAGAAGTCTTGATGTACGACAACTAGTAGAGAAGTTTTATCCTGAAGATTTCAATGATCATGATAAAACAATTCTGAAAATGCAACTTCAACATTATGTTATTGATGTCGTTCAACATATAGATTATAAGCAATTGACATCTATTGCAGAATTGGGTCAATGGTTGGTAAGGACTAGAAGAGAAACCACTTTTGATCTTATTTATCGWTTAATAAGTCTATTACTTACTCTCCCAGTTTCTACCGCGACAACCAAGAGATCATTTTCAGCAATGAATATTGTGAAAACTAGAATACAGAATAAAGTGGATGATGAGTTTCTAAATGACTCGTTACTTTTGTTTATTGAAGGGAAGTAGCTGAAAATATTAGTTTGGAGGAAATTGTGGAAGACTTCAAGGTCGCAATAGATCGACGGGTTCCACTTTGATTAGCGATGTTTGACATGTTTATATTTAACGTCTAGTTTTAGAGTTTTACTATGTTATAACTTTGGACAATGTATTTTTGGTACCTTTGAAATATATAATATATTAGGTCCGGCCCCTACGGTTGGAAAGTTTGTGTTCCGCTCCTGCCCGCTATGCGAGTCAACTAATCCCAAGATGGCCACATGCTTTGCGGGTAGCCCAGAGTCACCGTATTTGAACCTTCACGACCACAAGAAGATTTTTATTCGTCCTTGTATTTGAATCTTAGACCTTCAGACATTTTTGACCTTTGAAGCCCAAACAAAAACCAATCAGACACCACCCTTGTGGTTTCTCTTCCACATTCTAGAACAAAGTTTTGGGGATTTTATTTTTCCCTCTTATTCCTTTTCTATCATTTACAAAACATACGTATTTTTTTGGTTTTCTCCTCATTTTTATCCCTTTCATTTCCACTTCTTCGGAAAAAAAAAGGTTTCGATAACACAACGTTAATATGACCCTGCTATGATCTCCATTTTTCCATTTCATAAAGGGGCACAAAATGGAAAAGAAAATTCAACTTTTAAAATTGTTTTTTTACTAATATAGTTATCTTTAACTGTAACATTCATTATTTTATATTAAAAATGTACCTTTTTCATATTTCATTAAACAAATTGCGTCTTTACGTTATAAAACACGTACCTTCGCTGTTTTAGACAATTTGTTTTCAAAGATATATTTAAGGGTCTATAGTTTAAAAGAAAAGAGATGATGAAACATTGAGCACACTTAAGATCGATAGTGCACCAGACAAAAATACAAATGTAAAACAACTAGAAAATTACATAATCGAAGCTGAAGTGAAAATGCTCGAAACGATTATCATAAGAATGACTTCTAATTTTAACCACGTTCTTCCGTTGTTGCTTATATTGCCACCCGGTTGCTTAAGATTCGTTGCAGAGCCTCTAGTGCTTGTCATATTAGCACTCGCTGTTTAAAACAAATATTATGCGTTCGTTATGAAATACTAAAAGCGTTGTTGTGCGACACAACATAACGTAAAATTTAAATGTAAATTAAAAATTAAGTTAATTTAAATCCGTTTTTAATGATTTTATTTTTATTTTTTTATAAATGGAATTAATAAAATGTTACCACTTGGGATAGGGCTGCTAGCAGGACCAGCATTAGAAGAACGACCATATTGATTGAAGATCTGAGCATCCGTTGAATTAGGAGCCAAATGGAGAAGTTCTGCATAAACACATGCAATATATAACGGAAAAACAATGGGTTGAGTTTCGGTGAAAAAGAGAATTAATGTGAGAAGTGTAAGAATAGATCTCTACCATTGGATGCATATTAGGATGAGATATACCAAGATGCACCGGGTCAATCCCCGTATCAAGCACCCGTTTATGGGAGATTAAAGATGATCAAGGCTACATATCTCTTCTTACACTTCTCACCTTAATTCTCTTTCTCACACGATCCTTCGCCTTAAAACAATATGTTTTTTTTACCAGTAGTTTTATAATATCATTTCGCTTAATGGAAATCCTACCCACTACACCAAATTGGGTTTTGTAGGACGTTTACGGTGTTCAAATGCCCTGATAGAGTCTCTTATAAGACTTAATGTTATAGCACCACAAAGTCAAAGCGACATATAACAAAGAGTATTACAATAAGTTTATATGACAGTTTTGAACATCATAACAAGTTTTTAGGACCTTTTTAAAAAGAAGTGTCTGTAAGATATTTTATATGATACTTTTGAAAAGTGTCCTATAAATCCATTTTTATAGGATACTTGTTCAAATAGTATTTATAAAATAGCGAATACAACACTTTAGTTTAAAAAATGTACAAAAAACTTGCTACGACACTCAAAAACGTCCTATGAACTTATTGTAACAGTTTTATACATGACGTTTTATTTTTTGCTCCTATAAACTGAAGTCTCGTAAAAAGTTCTATTAAGACATTTAAAACATATATATATATATATATATATATGTATGTATATATATGTAGGGGCCTAATCAAATGAGAACTGAATAGTTTGTGGTAACTGTGAGTTCCAATCTCAACCACAAATCAATGGATAAATTAGAAAATTAATAGTTATGGTAATTTGAGTTAAAATTATAATTAGAGGGCATATTAGGTATTTTTAAAAAACTCCTCTCTCCTTTCTCCTTTCTCCTCTCTCTAGCCTCCGGTGAAATCGGTATCACAGTATATCACAATGGGTATCACATTGTGTATCTTTGTTTTTAAGGTTTTGAGTTGGTATCATAGTCGGTATCACAATGGTATCACAGTATATCACAATGGGTATCACATTGTGTATCTTTGGGATTACTTGGTACCTGCCGGATTAATGTTCATCGGAGGCCGGAGATTGAAGGTCGGAGAGATGAGAGAGGAGAAAAGAGAAAGGAGAGAGGAGAGATGAGTTTTTTTTTAAATACTTAAAATGACATCTAATTATAATTTTAATTTAAACTACCATAATTATTAATTTTCTAATTTATCCGTTGATTTGTGGTTGAGATTGGATCTCACAGTTACCACAAACTAATCAGTTCTCCCTTGAATGGACCCTATATATATATATATATATATATATATATATATATAATTTTGATTCATTTTACACATATGAATACACGAACCTGGACATTTTGAAACATTGGCTGGTGCATGACAAACCGTAGGGAGGCCTAACGCAAGAGTAACATTGATAGTGAGGCCTAAATCTGGATCATTTCTATCTTTTATCACCACACACAAACACTTTTTGTTCGTGTTCAACACTTGTTTCAATCCACTGCAACAATCAGGTGTCGGAGATTTCGCATTGCCACCGACGTATGGCAAACATGTCGCCAGTCCCACCAACTGCTCCGTGCACTCTTCCTTGTCTTTGTCGTCCGCACCCGATGTCACACCAAAGACCAACACCAGGGTTAAGACTAGAAATGTAAATGAAAATCGAACCCGGATTGATCTCCCTGTATCCATTGCAATAAGTTGAAGCACAAGTGAACTTTGAGGATGATGGAGTTGTCACCTTAAATAGGATTATTTTCATCCATGAGAAAGAATGTACCGTAAATACAACTTTTATTATATATATTATATATATATATATATATGTGGTGTGTGTATATATATATATATATGTGTGTGTGTGGGGAGAAAGATTGGGAGGGTTTAACGGAGACCCAAAAAAATGAACATGCAACAAAAATTCCATCAAACAGTTGTATCAAAATAAAATAGATGGCCGAGTTTCGAATGTAAATGTCTCTCATAATTATGGAGTTACTATCGACAATATTTGTCGATACTAACTCCATAATTATAGGAGAGATTTATATTTTATCCATGTTCAATCAATGAAATTAACACATTAGATTCTTATATATTTTAGATTTATTTTATTTAAATTCACATCGTCTCTATGATGATGTATATTCTTGTGATTGGTGGATTAAGATCAATCGAATGTTGATGACGGATCCTATTCTCTTATCTCAAAAATTGATTAACATCCTAATAACCACTCATCTGCATTATAAGCACATACGGGTACAAGTAACTGAACATGTTTCATGGTTTCTATGCACGTGTGCATACTCGACAACTATTTATATGTACATACACATACCACAAACGAATGACATGTGCATACTGAACAAACTACTTATATGTAGTTTTTTTTTATCGTTTTCGATTAAATCCGAATATATATATATATATATATATATTTGTGTGGTTGGTTGGGAGGGTGGTGGATTAGGTGAGGGCCAAGTTAGTGCATCTTATGAGTTCTGTGACAGTGTTAAAAGGTGAAAGTGGAGTTAGAGTTTGAGCACTTCACCAACCCACTAAGGTTTGTGGTAGGACATATCTAAATGTTCATATGCTTGTCGATCATGCTTATATTTTCTGTTTACATTTAATTAGTTTGTGCAATATATATAAAGGTGTCTTGTTTTATTCATTAGCAAATGCAATTAGAGATTAATAATGTTGGTTTTAGTAAACAAGATTTAAATGGAAAAACCATGTATATAACTTTTGATTATCAAACCTTTGCAAACCTCAACTCGAAAATGATATACTTGTGTACGGACCAACTTATGCGTATTTCGATTAATTCCAAGGCCTTGGAGAACAACCTAGGTGCCTTACAGCAGATGATCAATGACCTCTGATAAAAATCTTTAAAAATCCAAATTTTATTGTCAGTTGATCTAATGTAAAGATTTAGATGGACACATTTTCCATCTCCAAAATAGCCAAGAGGCACTTGTATTATATAAAATAGGTGTGTAAATGATACGAGACAACTCGCGAGCTATTCGAGATCGACTCGGTCAAAACTCGACTCGAATAGGCTCTGCTCAAACTCGAACTCGAACTCGACTCGACATATTAACGAGTCGAGTCAAACTAGCCAATACTCGACTCGAAAAACTCGTGAGATACTCGATTTTTTATATATAGTTAGTTTTAAAAATATAATCAGTTTTATAATATAATGTAATAAAAGTGTCTTATATTTTTAAATATTTGAACGATATTGTGCATTTTTAATTATAAAAACTATATCAATAATTTTTTTTATTACAATTTGTAACAATCCTCACATCCCAAATACATATAATTCACATCATCATACTCATAATACTAAAATAGTATTATTACAAAACATGAACTATCAAAATGTATCTTTAATACATATGCATAATAAACTATTATCAATATTTAGACTTTTCCCTTGCCTTTATTTTTCTGAGCACGTTGTCCTGCAAAACAGG